TCTGTATCCAGAAACCGCGGAATGTTTTTGTGAATATGCTGCCAAATGGCGCGAGCAAGCCGCTAGGGTAAAGCCGCAAATGGACGAAGCATAAATGGCTACGATTTTCCTACAGGCCCAAGAGGCGGACTACTTCCATAACATGATGTCTGTTATGGGTGGACCATTCGCCGAGGCTATCAAAATTGGGGAGATGGTCGAAAATGATTAAAAAACGGGCCGAATCTTAAGTCATGCTACCTTTAAGGCTACATTACACGCCGTTCAGAGTGGTTCGGATAGTTTGATGAACAGAAATTGGAGAGATGAGGAATTTGATCCGGCACTGAAGGTCATTGCAGCCATTGGCCAGACAGAAGAAAAGCCGAAAAACGGTCGTCAAGCCTGAAAGTTCCCCATCAGACGGGAGTTTCGGTAGCCAGTCTTGCTATCCTTTCTGCGTCCGGATTATCTCAGGGTGTGATCCGGATGTTTTACTTTATTGTCTTACTTTCCGATGTAAACCCTATATTTCATTGTTCAAGAATGTCTTTTTTCTTAATTTTGTCACTTTTTCTTATTCTCTTTTCAGTTCTGTTAATGCAAATTTTAATATCACGACATGCTTACGGACTTCATGCCCAGATCCTAAAACGCTGTCAGACCTCGAAATAATGAATCAAGAAGCAGAATATTTTGAAGACAAGGCTTATAAAAAAATAAGTAGAAAATTGGAACGAAGTTGAGATTCCCTCTCTTCGGATCATTGTTGAATCCGAGATTGAGGATAAAGATTGGGTCAATAACCGATTTGAACAATTGACACTGATTGATGAAAAATGATTGGTCACAGTTTACCACGGGCAGTTATACCAACAAAGAATGACTCGTGTCTACAACAAGAAAGTGCGGCCCAAGAAATTTGAAAAAGGACAACTCATTCTAAGACGTATCCTCCCACCTCATGAAGAAGCTAAAGGAAAATTAGCTCCAAATTGGAAATGTCCATACATTATAACGAGAGTACTGCAAAAGGGAGCATTGTACCTGGGAAGAATTGAATGAAATGACCCCGAGATAACTGTCAATACAGACGCGGTCAAAAGGTATTATGTTTGACCCTTTTACGCAACTTTAATGCTCTCTGATTGAGATGATGAAGGTTTTCATTCTTGATACCCAAACACTATAAACCCCTTGCAAACCCTTTGAGCCGGTTACCTTTTCTTTGATTACCCTCTTTGGAACCTGAAAGCTTTATTGCAAAAAAAAAAAAAAGAAAAAAGAAATAAATACCAAAAAAAGAGAAAAATAAAATGAAAAATGAGAAAAAAGGAAAGGAAAAAGAAAGAGAAGAAACCAAAACAGAAAAGAAAACCAAAACAAAAGAAAATCAGAAACAAAATTCCTTGAACTACGTTTGACTTGATATCAAAAGGATACGTAGGCAGCCTCTCTCTAAGGTTCAGTCACACCAAAATAAAAATCCACATTCCCCAAAAGTTGAAACTGGGGTAGAATTTATAATGGTTCCGCGATGGTTTCGCCCGAAGGGTTCCAAAGTTGTAAGTCAGTCCAAATCCTTTTCACCCAAACCTTTTTCAAAGTCCTTCCGATCAATTAATGAGAATGTTCAAGAATTGGAGAATACAGTCACATGATCTGATGCAACCAAAATAAAAGAGTCTTGGTGGTGAAAAAATTCCTCACGGGCACCGTAAGGCGATGGGAAGTAAAGAAATTAGAATGAGAGTCTTATTAGTGAAAACTCGCAAAGAGCACTATAAGGCGATAGTGAGAAGAGCAATGGGAGAGGTCAGTTGGTGAAAAACCCGCAAAGGGCGCCACTTATCGAAAAGAGGATCTTCACAGCCATTGTCATTGAAACAGTCCTAGGCAAGGTTTCTCGGTTTCAAGGCAAAAGTTGTGATAAATTTCTGAGAGTCGGACAGTTTACACAGATCAGGCATCCAGTCCAAAAGGCATGTCATGTTCATTGAAGTCCGCATGTACTCCAGATAAGTCCTTCTTTCCTTTCCCCGAAAGGGACACTTCTTGCCTAAATTCATTCTCTATTCTACTGTTTGTTTCTCTATTCCTTTCCGGTGGTCTCTTGGGAACGCCTCTTGTAGGGTCTTCCATGTCTGGATGGTATGTCTTTAGACACCCCACATGGAAGACAGGGTAGATCTTTAGCTTGGAAAGAAGCTGAAGTTTTTAGGCAACTTGTCCTACTTTCTCTATGATGGGGAATGTCCCCTCATACTTGCGGCTGACACCCTTACTAAAAAAGAAGGAAAGATTTTTTACAATAGTGGATTTTTTTTTTCTCATCCTCCCGCTTGGAAATTCAGTTTCATGATTGAGTTTCCCCTTTCTTCTACAGATGCTGGGGGTCCAGCCCTCATAGGAAATTGCCTATGAGATCGCATTCCATCGATTTTTTAAGATTGGAGGGCTCCCTCTAGTGCTAAATAAAAAAGATCTTTGAGCAAGGGCTAGCTTTTCAACAGGCGAAGAAAGGCCTCACCAAACACTTCATGCCCAAAGGAAGAAGCAAATGAGCAATCGAGCCACGAGGAAACGAATAGTGATGCAAGTCTTTATCAAAGCTCACACGCTAAGTTTGGAACCCTTACCCTTTCCTGCGAAAACCAAAGCATCAAAGACATCGGCTACCTAGTAAAAAACCGACAGTCGATGAAGAAAAATGCTCCAATTATGGACATCCCAGTGGGCCCCCTTACATCAGGTTTTCGAGAAAGAAGAAATAAGAATTGCTTTTAACTTCCTATCGGCCCTCTTCTCTGTTCTAGGTCCTTTCCTCACTAAGGACCATGGGCCAATAACTTCAGATACAAAGCATGATTTTTCCAAGACGTGCAAGGCGCCCCCCATCGTTCCAACGGGAAAGACTTCAACATAAAAGTAAATTTCCGTTCTTCCTGTTCCCGCGGCAGACATATGCTCGGTTGAAGATGGATTTAGAAAGGATCAGCAGCGGTGCATATATGATATTTTAAGGACAAGAAATATTGGACTAGACTATTCCTTATGTAGATGTAGTGGATAAGCTCTCCGTGTTGGGATAGGCGTTCGGATTTCCACAGCTATTCTAAGAGCGTGCTGAATCCAACCGTTGCACGTTCCCCCTTTGGCTAAACCACCACTTCAGGCTAACCCTTTTGCCTGGCTGGCACTTACTCAAGTTAGAGTTTTGCGCTCTCTCAAAACGCCTGCACGCCTGCGAGTGTTCTCCCCGGTCCTACAAATTGAGCTTCCGAAAGGGGTGCTTGCTGGAGCAGCTCAACGAGATATGGGTTCAATTCCCGCTATGCCTCATCCTAGTAGGTGTCTGCACCATTGGGCCAGCTAAACTTGCTCTGATCTAGTGTGCGTCCGCTCCTGTTCGGGCTCACTCAGCAGAAAGCTAACTCTGTTCTCCTGCTTTAGCTTAAGCCCACCCGGACAGACTCTGGCATGACACCCGTCACCATACATAGGTAATAGCATGTCCCAATGCTATCTTCCTCGAAGTTGCTGCTCAATATGATCTTGTTTTTTGGGGGAGGATCCACTAAATGTACCAACAGAGCACTGTCGGGTCGATAGCCCTTGATCCGAGATCTCTTTTTAACAAAAAAGAGTTGGATTTGCCAGCCTTAGTCGAAGAAGACTGTTCGTATAGTAGTAGGTTTGAGAACTGGTTCAAACCATCTCATAGGTCATCCTCAGTACAAAAGGTCAATTCAATGCTCAAGTCAAATGGGGGAGGGTCAATTTTTCTATTGATCGAGAAAGCTTGGGCGGGCCCCCAACCATTAGCACATTCTAAGATTCAGATGACTAATTGGTTGGGAATCATGAATTATCACGTCTTGACGGTCAGTACAGAATCTTGCTATACCCATTTTTATTCTTTCCCTTTATTAGTAAGTAGTCAGGGAGCTAGACGAAGATCGACGAGTTGTCTGCTTTGTGATTTGCAAATGGGTTTACCGTCATCCCTGAACAATTTGGCTGGAGTTTCAGAGGGAGAAATAATCCGCTCATGATGCGTGGAAAGTAGGGGAAGAGTCTGATTAAAAAATGTCTGTGATAGATCACGTCGAACTGAAGCACTTAAGAAAGAAGTTGATAACTTTTGGTTTATTTGATACTTATTCTGACACGGTTCATACGGTCACAGCACAGACATAACCCGGAAATGCCCTACCACTATGGCTCCCCCTTTTCTTTCATACGCTCGTCCTTCAAAAATATAGGGGAAAGATGACTTCTGTAACGAATNACTATAGCTCCCCCTTTTCTTTCATATGCTCGTCCTTCAGAAATACATGGGAAAGATGACTTCTATAATGAAGGATCTAGACTTAGATGGGACCAAGCAGAGACAATTCTATACGAATAAGATCAGTCCACTTACAAAAATACCTGAACGAGAAGGGATCGGTGTTGTCAACTATGCTCGTTATCAGAATGGTTATACCATGGAAAGATGGGGGACCATCTTTCAAAAATGAACCCGGACGCATTTCTTGCGTGGCCGAACCCACAGATCTTGATGTATGCCTATCTTTTACTTGGACTACAAAAATGCATTCTTCGAGATCCCCACGGAGCGGTATTCAAATTAAGACTACAATCATACAGATTCGATACATGCTTCAATATTGGACCAGTCCTTGAATAGTTCAAAATTATGTGGTGGCCAAGATATGGACCGCTTAAAGAAAGGATGCCTTTCATCAATTTAGTCCATTATGGTTTTCTTTACCATTCCGGACTACTAAATTCAGTTCTAGCAGTTGCCATCTCACGAAATTGGCCCATTCGCCAACTTGACGTGAAAAATGCCTTCCTCCATGGTCTTTGATTTTAAGAGGTATACATGCAACAACCTCCTGAATTTGTTGATCCTTCTAAGCCTACTCATCTTTGTCGCTTTCATAAGGCCATTGTTGGTCTTCGTCAAGCACAATTGGCATGCTTTCAACGGTTCAGTACCTATCTTCTCCAAAATGGCTTTCGTCAGAGTGTTGTGGATACCTCCATCTATTTTTCTTCACCATTCCTCTACTGGCTGTATCGTCCTTTTGCTTTATGTTGACGACATCATCTTAACTGGTGACAACGGATCTCTTCTCACTCAATTTATTCACCATCTCAGTAAATATTTTGCCATGAAGGACTTGGGTTATCTCAATGACTTCCTTGGCATTGAAGCTCAGCGTGACTCCTCTGGCCTTCTTCTGTCACAAACCAAATATGCTTTAGATTGATTCCGCCGGACCAACATTCTTGGTTGCAAACCTTGTGCTACACAAATTGCTTCCGGTTCTAAACTTTCAGCTTTGGATGGTACACCTCCCTCTGATCCTCAGGCCTATCGGAGTACTGTTGGTGCTCTCCAATATATCACTCTCACTCGACCGGACCTCTGCTATGCTGTTAATCATGCCTGCCAGTTTATGGCCAATCCCATCACTATTCATGATCAGTGTCTTAAACGTATTTTAAGGTATTTGAAAGGCACTCTCCATTATATTATGGTCTTAGATTTCCTCATCGCCCTATCTCAACACTTTTTTTTGTTACTCTTATGCAGGGCTGGTTGTCCAACAATTCATCGCTCAACCACTGGATTCTGCATTTACTTTGGTGACAATCTAATTTCTTGGCGCTCTAAAAAGAAACCAACAGTTGCCCGCGCTAGTGCAGAAGCTGAATACAAAGCATTAGCTATCACTGCTTCTGAAATTTGATGGCTCTCCTACTTGCTAAAGGATTTACATGTGTCAATTCCTCACCCATTACTTCTCTTTTGTGACAACTCTTCATACTCTGCTTCCACCTTATTCCTTTCAAGGTTGCACCTTGTCGTAAGTTCTCGCCGTCTCCATTGCGTGCTTCTTCAGTATCTCCTCAGGAAGTAGCAAGAGGACGCGACAAACTAGAAGATTAAGATGGCACCGTAACTAGCCTAGCTTTTACTTTCTTTCAAATCAGAATGTTCTCCTGCTCGAAGAATGTTTTCCTACCACAATAGTAGTTGAAGAAAGGGCTAAAGGTGGGCTCGGGGAAGGAAGAAAATGAATTTTGAAATCCCAAAAAGGAGGAATAATCCCTTTTCTGTCTTTTTGTATCCGTAGTGGAATAAGCCTTGGCATCAGCATCAGCATAATTATCTCCATCCAAAACATCAGAATCCTCATCAGCAGACGAATCTGTAGAAAGAGCTGCCACTTAATAATTTGCCGAACCAACAAACTTTTACAAAAAAGTGCAAACTAGGGTGATCATAGATCAGGGGAAGGTTTAGAATCCTATGGGAAAAGATAGGTAAGCAAAAGTGACTAAAGGCTACCAAGACTTTAGAGGCCACTCATAATTACTGAAACACCACCCAGAACGAAATACGCCGTCAATGAAGTCGGTCAGTCAAGCCTGATCTTTGACCACACCCTTAACACTAATCTAGAAGCATTGATACATGAAACCCGGAATTATGAGCTTCGGCAACAGGATCCAGACCCCTTCCGAGAAGCTAGAAAAGCATCTAATGGTAAAGTGGAAGCTAAAGGATATAGGGCTACCACCCTCTAAATAAAGATCTAGATACAGAGTCGAAGAAAAGGTAGGGTGTTTCGTTTTGGAAATAAACAACTCGGAAAGCTTGATCTGTGACGTCGCATAGCTCTTTTGGAAGGCAGTAAGAACAAGATTCCATAGAGAAGCGCCATCAAAAACAGAAGCCAGCCAGTTCCAGTAGAGTCAAAGTCAAATAAGAAGGGCCTTGAGCCCGGTACTCCTTCTTCAAGCTATCACGCCCATCCAAGCCTATTGCTTCTGTAACAACAAAAAGAAAAGACTGACCGCTACTACTACTTTCACTACTATAGCTAGGGGCTCTTCCACTCAGATTCTTTCCTTCGCTTTAGGGAAGGTTGAAAGTGAAGCCGAACGAAGGAGAGTTAAGTTAATTGCTCATTCCCCGGCTACAGAGCATGCCACTATGCTTGATACATGCAATTGCTTTCCTTGGCACTGTAGTTAGTGACTTGTCTCCTCTCGCCCTCGATCAAACTATCAATTGAATAAGAGAAGAAAGCTCAAGATTCACCATTTTCAAGCTCCCCCCTTTTTCCTCAATTCGTAGATAGAGAATCGGATTCTTATCCATGGCAAGTGGCATCGTATAATAATATAACGGCTGCTTTAAGGAGCTTTCTCTCTAACCTCTTTCATGAAATTACATGTCCCGAAGTTGACTGTCGAAATCCATTGTGACTCTGGAGGTGATAAGGGGAGCTACGCTTTGTCATTTCCGGTATGTTAAGTCTACTAGCTTGCTGGTAGGCGTCAGCGGTAGGTAACTTTCTGTATGTGTTCCAGAGCATCATAGGCTTTCAAAAAAAATCTTGTGGAATCCGTGAAACTTAAGTATGGAGGTGGGAATCGTCCCGCTCGCACGTGCGACTGCAAAGATCCGATCCCCACTGGAACTCGACCAATCCCAATAGCTGTTGCGACAAAACAACACTTTTCTTCCCCTCCAACCGTGAGTCCGGACTGTCGCCGCGAAGTTGAGTGAACTTAATCGTAAGTCTCTTAGTGCAACTCAACTCTTCTCCGAATGGCTGAATGCCGGGTTTGAATTCCTCCCTTCTAGTTACCACCCCGTGGGTTCCTTCACTTCAAACCAGACTTTTTGCGATTTGAAGATATAAATTATATTCTTTGTGGCAGGTGGTATCATATATCATATATATAAAATAGAAAGGCTTCATTTAGGAGCATTGTTTTCATCCAACTAGTTTTATCGTAAATAAGCGGTTAAAGAATGTTACGTCCAATTATTCCCATGTTTTTCCTTGGTCAACAACCAAGCAACTACATATATCTAAAAAAGTCTCTCTTTTTGTTTGGGGGGAGTAGAGCAGTCAAAGAATGAACCAAACCATCATGTTTAATGAACTTCTACAGGTCGTAGAACCCTTTTTAGAGGTCGTTCAAATCATGTCGAACGCGGGGCAAGAGGGGTTACCGCAGGTTCCCGGGAATCCACCCGTGGAAGGAACTTCGGTGGTCGAAGGCGAAGTCTCACAGAATGAGATTTGGGCAGCTTTGGAAAAAAAGGAGTGGAAAGATCTTATTTCGTCTAAGGAGTGGAGGTCTATAGAAAAACACTTTGACCTCTGCGAAAGCAAGATAAAGACCATTATAGAAGAAACTCTCTCTTTATATAAGCAAGGGAACCTTCCCCTTCAGATAGAAGAAGATGCCTATATTGGCAGAGGTATTGATGCCTACTTCGCCGATCTGAACCACTTCGAGTCTAATCAACAGCGGTTACAACATATTAAGAGGGCCCAGGCCTGTATAGGAAATCCCAATAGTAAAATTTGGCGTGAGATCAAAGGTTTGATTGAGAGCTATAAGGTCTAAATATTCTTGATAATATTGAAGGTAGTAAGAGTTTACGGTGGGTGGGAAAGCAGGAGGGGACCCCTGTGGTTAGACTAACTAGCCTCTAAGGTTAGCGAGGTTCCTGCTATGGTGAAGTGAAAGATCTTTCACTATAGTGGGAAGAAGATAGGTGGGAACGAGCGGAGCTAGAGCAAAGCAAGTTCCAGTGGTGGGTTGTCTTCCTGGTCCCATTGAAATCTTTTTCATGGTATGGAACTCACTTCATACCTGCAACAGAGTCAAAGCTGCGGTAATACTGACTCTCCTGGTCAATAGGGCTATTCAAACCAATCCCCCCTTTCTGTTTGCAATTACCGCTGCAGAATAGTCATCCCTAAAAGAAGCTGTTTTCCAATTCAAATAGGTTGCTTTTAGAATAGGTTGTTCTCGAATAAGCTCTTTGAAAGATAACTGAATGCGTTTAGTCCCTTGGGGAAGGGTCTGCGCCCAGGGGCTCTTTTTAGCACTTTTGAGGAAGTGAAGACGAATAGTCGACTTTCTTGCCTGCTTGACTGCTTTCATCTCCTGATGTCAGAAAAGGTGTTCTATCTCATTCTTTTAGCTGCAAGGGAATCGTCAGGTTGTAGTGGTTGAAGTAGAGCCAAGCAGCGATGGACTAAGCGAGTTAAATAATGCTGGTGCGAACCATGTTGGATAACGGGTGAGGGTGAGAAAGAAGTCCTGCTCTACTGCCCTGTGTTAAGCAAAGTGAGTTTACTTCATTTCAGGTCATGTTATTCAGTCTAATGGAACTAAACTCTTAGATGCAGCATGCAGCCGCCTCCATCCATCGGCACATCCGCCCCAGATGCACGCTTAGCCGCATTGTTCATCTTGAAAGGGAGCCGCAAGGTGCTGTCATGTCAAGCCCAAGGTTCGTTCTACTGCTGGAAAATTTTTGCCATTTACACGTCTTGGTGGGGGGTCTTCTTGCAACGATCTTCGTTTCTTCAGGAATGGTGCCGGTCAATTGGTGTATAGGCCATCTCGGTCCAGTTTAGAATTTACCTTTATTTTGAATCCCANTTGAATCCCGCTTCCTTGTTAGCTGGGAACCCCCTCCTCTATGAAGCAGAGAATGATCGATCGAAGACTGAGAAGATAGAAGAAGATCTTTTAAGCATCGGTTGCGACATCGAATGAGACTTATCCAGGGAGCAAAGACTCCGGTTGTCTTTCGTCTTTGAAGAAGTCAAACGCAGCCTAGAAAGAGGCTACGAAGCGGTCGAGGGTTGAGTGAGGGCCAGTGGTTGCATTGCGAATATTGAATTCCATGTGCTAGATATCCCTGCTTCTTTGAATCTGTTACTGGGTAGGCCATGTAACCATGCCTTTGGGTGCTCTTCCTTCTTCGTTACAACAAAAGATCAAGATGCCAAGAGATGGGGGAATTCTTACTATCCATGGAGATGCTGATAGGGAGACAGCTTTCTTCGAGGTGAAGGATGACAATGCAGGATTTAATCTAACCGGGTTCCAGTTTGTTAATGCTATAGAAAGGGTGCCCCTTTCTTTTTATCCTATGCAAATCATTACGTGGCTCATATAGAGATGGGACATTTCCCTGGACTTGGCTTGGGGAAGAAAGAGCAAGGGGTCACCAAACTTTGTGAATCACAAGGCAACTTATAGGCTGGGTTATGTTCCAACTGAAGAAGACAAGGCAACCGAGGTAGATGGGCGAAAGAGAGAAGAGGGTTTGGCCCCATATCCCAAAACTCTCATTCAAAGGCGTAAATGGGTTTCTCATAATCAGCTCGAGGTGGGTTAGTTATCAGGATATCCTGAGTAGTTTATCCCCATTCTCTGAGCCTTTCGGATATCCTCCCTTTCTTCAATCTAGTTTATTTAAGTGGGCTATTCCCCGAAAATGCCATTCCTTTTTCGTTGGGGGTCACAATCTTCCTTATTTGGTCAATTCCTGCATAAAGGTAGGGCTGGGCAGTAGCTTTACCCGTTGTCAGAATCGAATGTAGCCTTTCATTTAAAAAGGCAAGGCCCCTAGCGATAGGGGAAAGAAGAAAGGGAATGCGGGCTTCTTTCACTCACTTGAGTTTTGTTTTGGAGAGAGCATTATGGAGCAGTAAAAAGCATAAGGGGAGTCGGAATGGAATATCGTATGTAGTGTTGAATCCAATCTGAAGCTCTTTCGAACAAGCGAGGAACGAGTGACCACAAGCTCCGCTTAAGCACTCGACATGCAGTTAGCTTAAAACATGTTCATCCTGTGGTCGAGCGAAGTGCACCTCTGTGAAGCAGCCTAGCATCACTTTAGATAGGAGCAGAATGGATGACT